GTTATCGATGAAGTTTAGGAAATGCTCTCTTACAGAGCTGGTATTCTGGCGCGCTGGGTTCTGTGGGGCTCCAGCCAAGCTGTTTACTCACTAAAACTCCTTCCGTCTTAACGTCCAGCCTTGGACTGCGGCCATTTCTGTTCTTTTATTGTATATTTTCTGTACAGGCCATATCTTGTAGTGAAATGATGCAAAATTATTTCGGGTCAAGCTTTTAGTGATTCACACGTGATTTTCACGAACACAACACAACACTGGAAGCGGCTGGTATCTGGCTACCTTATATTCAGTTGTAAAACTCAAATAAACTTCACAGTTATCTAGAGATTACAGAATTCCGAACACAACACTTTATTATTGTAAAACAAAGATAAATATCACAGTTACCAAACTAGTTGAAAATGCTTATGATTGCAAATTGAAAACATCGATAGACTGAAAGATGAATGAAAATTGACGGAATAATCTTAACTGTAAAATACTGTATGTTCAGAGTCCTCTTATGGACATATGTACAAAACAAACACATGCAAACAATCAGCTGATTTTTTATTTTTTGCCGACGTCTCTGTGGTTGCTGTCAGCAAAATCATTTTGGCGGGAAAGCAAAACTGTCCAATCTATACTCTGTAATCTGTGCACAGGGTTTACAATCATATTGTAATTCATAAATCGAAATCCCCGCTTCTTATTAATTTAGGGACGTAAACACCTGGCAGAGAGCGCGCATAAGCGATCACGGCCGTTTGCATGTAGTTGTCACTTCTTGTTCAGAGGTGTTCTGTGCACTATACTCAAGAATATGTTGACTGTTGATAACAGCTGTTGACTGCATGATACAATGAATACTGGAAACAATAATAACTGGCAACTATGCTAGTCTACCAAATAAATACATTTTTGTTACTTTTAATTTTCAAGTCTAAAATCTGCTGCAAAGCATCTTGTAATTATAAGGAAGATTTATAAAAAAATAATTAAATATGACAGACTAAATAAGCTATATTTAATCACAATTAGCAGACAGGAAAAAAGCACGCCCGGCAGTGATTTCCACTGACGTCACGCAAATCGCCGCAAGATCCTACCTTCTATTCATTGCCATGCCATAAGCCTTGTTCTATGCACAGGTTCTATGATTCATGTGTTGACTGCGTGTACGTGTTTCATCCGTATAGAAAACGTTTAAATTTTCCACAGAATTTTCAATACATCAGCACTAAACACTAGAATCTAAACTTAAGTAATTCTGATGTCAAGTCCAAAGGAAGAATGTGTTTTGAAGGCGGGACATCCTCCAGCAGGTAACTATTTCACACTAATACTCAGCATCCATTCCAATCATAAGAAAGGTAAACTCAGCATTTTCCACTACTCACACTTTCATGTCACAACCCATATGATCAATTATGTTTTAAATTACACTTGCTTAGATAATTACAAATCAACCGCGAGCTACATTTAGTTGATCCAATCAAAAAACTACGTAGTTTCTTTCTTTAGTGAGAGCTGGGGGTATGAGGATAACTCAGCATAAGGTGCGAAGAGACTCAGGTGGCTTAACTGAAGATACAACAGGAATCACCATATCGGGAAGCCCCCCTAAAACTATGACAATATCAGGTGCTGTAGCTAAAGGCAATGCAGATTTTCCTGTCGAAGCTGTTGAGGGCTTTCACAAGGAAAAACCACCTGCAGTGCATACCAGCAAACCTGGTAGTCACATCATCCAGCAACCCAGAAAGTAAACTAGCAAAGCTTGCGCATTGCTAAAAATTGGGCAAATTTCATATTTTGGCTTTAATTGAAATTTTTATTGGATGTTATTATTAAGAATAAAAAAATATTCTCACTTGCATACAAGATAAGGTTTTATACGTAAAGGGATACTGTGTGCAGGTATATATTATCTATCTGATGGTGTTCGGTTTTTAATGAAATAATGTTTAAATAGAAACTAGGTAGTAACTTTTATTTAAATCAAATAAAAGGGTCTACCTATTTATTAGTTTTTTTACGGATTAGATGATGATTTATTCCAGCTCACCGCTGCTTTCTTCTTGCAATCCTCCTTCGAGAGTGGTTTTAGGTGAGCAGCTTCCACAATTTCCCTTCAAATAATAGATAAATCACTTGTCACCAAATAGATTTATGTTCTACAGCATGAAGTTTTAACACTAATTATGACTTGTGGTGGACAGAAATAAAGTCTAAAATGTAGCAGATTATATGTATACAATGGAAGTAGATGAATAATGCAAAACCCAGACGTAGAATTTCATTTTTCTGAAGAGCAAAATATGCTAATATTAAAATAATCAATTGATTTTTATATGACTTTAGAATAACATCAAGTTCATTTAATTCTCAGAAAAATTTAGCACATTATGATGGCTCACTCTATATTTTCCTATTAAAAAGCTAACAAACGTAAATTATCTATTTGATTTAGAGCACTGCCCGAGATCGGAATTATCTAACGCTGAAGAAAATTTATTGAAAATCCTTTTTCATCTGTATGTTCACATGTATTTTCATCTGTATGACACTATTTGCTGAGTGGGTGGCAATTAAATTAAAAAATCAAAGTATGGGAGTAGCACTAACAAACCCAGAACCAAATCTAAGACGCTGCTTTATATTTTTCGTCTATATTGTTAGTTCATTTATGTTACTCTTGAATTCCAGCACAACTTTGTTTTCTTCTCGACAATCAAACGACATACACATTTATCAAATGTGTATGTCGCGTAATGTAAATGTGTTATCGAATTTAAAAGTAAAATATCAAGAAAATATTCATGTCATTAATAAATATAAGGCATACAAATTGTAGCAATGAAGCATCAATAAGGCAATGGTAAAATAGCAAATGATTAAGACACGTTGTTTAAAAAAACGCTTCGTTGTAACAAAAAATATGTATTAAAATTCGGTGCAATGCCCACCTGAATTCGTCATAAGATTTCGAAGTAACTACGGCCTTCAACTTTGCATCGTTTCTTATCCAATATCTTTTATCTGAATCCAAATCAGATTGTAACTTTAAATATAAATCTTTTAGTTCTCTGCTTGTTTCTGAAGTTCCCATCTTGCAAAATTGAATGTTACATCAATACTTTGATTTTCGTGACAAGCTTCTTTGCTATTTTTCGTCATGGAAACAGCTGCAGTTGCAATATTTTATATTGCATAAATTAGTGTTTATACAAAACGCAGTTAATCACCTGATCATGAGCTCACGATCAATATGCTTTAAATGAATTGTTTACTGGAAGGCAACGAATGAGGACTTTTGTTGCAAACATCATTATAACATGTACAAAGGTTTTTTAATTAACTTTCTATAAAAAGGTTTCATAAATTAATGGATCATTAAATGAAAAAGTATCATTGGGAACCATTTTTTCGTTTCAAATCCTTTAAATTCAATTGACTAAAATCTGGTTTCCAAACATCTAATTTTCCTTTTTCCCCTCCGGTCAAAAGAAGATTTGTCTAAAATGAAAAAGAAAAAGAAAACTATTATATCAAATGTTCGCTCAAATCCACCAAGTGCACTTACATGTTCATTAATCCAACTACTTCTCACGCGCTGAGTATTTTCCAGACATTGAAAACCAGAATTTAAATCGTGTGTTGAAATGTTTAAACTTCTGAGTGAATTATTTGATCCACATAAAGCAAACAGAGAATTCCTCAGAGGGTGTATTGCCGCTATGTATGTGTTGCCAGGATTTTTCTGAAAGGTCAGATAGCAAATGTTTCAAAAGTGCTTATTCAAACGCACATAAAGCAAGTCATACAAACTCACAGGTTTTGAAAGAACAAATCACCTTAATTTGCGAAGCAATGTCCACTCTGCTAAGACATTTGTAGGGTTCGGCGCCATCCGTTTCCCATAACTGGAGATCATTTGTGGAAGTAACACAACTAATCTTCCACTGTTTACCAACATTAAACCACTGCAACTCTTCTACCAACGCCTCGGTGTTCAAACACTCTTGCAACGCATCATCCTCGTTGGATTCCAAAAGATTGTAAATGTTGATTAACTTATCCGTTGAGCCCGATATTAGCTTATTACTATCATTTGGGTGGAATTTCACCTGCAATACCAATAGCCCATTATCTTCTACGTATGCACTGCAATCAAAATTTACCTGCGTTATATCGTCAGTATGACTTTCCCAGTAAGCGCCTAATAAAGCAGTATTCCGTATATCCCAAAATAAAATATATGCATCGCCATCAGTCAATTCAGTCCCAGCGGCCAATAAAATATTAGAGGGAGATACATCAAAGGAGCTTAGCGGTTTTACTGAGCTTCCTTCCGTTAGAGTTGTATCTAGGTATAAATAGAATATTGTGGTATAAAGACAAAAAAACATTACCGCTCTACAATTGTTCTTTTTGAACTTCTTATTCGAGTGCTTGATTACCTTTTGAGGTTTTTCAGAAAACTAAATCTACTATCAAAAATGTAATCAAAGGAAGCAAGGCTTGCACAAGGCGCTTTCGACGATTGAACATTTACATATGAACGTTGAAATGAAGAGCTATACAACTACATAGCATACCTTTAAATGTGATTACAGATTCTGTCGGCACTCTAAGATCCCAAATTTTGATTGTTCCATCACTGGACCCAGTGAAAAATAGATTCCTATTATCTGAACTAAATTTGCAGTCAATTAGCTTCTGATTATGTTCCTGGAATTTATTTAGTTTGTGTAGCTGACTTTCTGTTAGATTGAATACATCGCAACTGGCATCTGAGAGTGCCGTGACAATATTGCAATTTGTATCACTGTAAGGACAAAATATATTAAATAATCTGGTTTTACATGATAATTCATGGACTTACTTAGTCGCTGAAATATGTAGAATATACTTTGGGCCTACAGATTGGCTGGACACATTGTGGCATGGCAGAAAAAGTGAATTTAACTCCTCTATATCCGCTAAATCGCTATCTGAGCAACTGTCATTAAAATCATCGACATTTTCTTCAATTTCCATTTTAATTCAGTTCTTTACACTCAATTATACTGATTATATGAATTATATATAATTTAATAAAAGTAAATGGCATAGATCACAGACCGACAGATCACAGAGGTTATAAATTGCAATTTTTCATGTGCGCCTGGACTGTTTATTCTAGTGAGCGCGAAAAGTAGTGTCGAATTATAGAAATCTACTATCATTTCTTTACAGATGTGTTTACCGGGAGATTTGAATTAGCTTTAAGTTCCAATATTGTTTTAAGCATCTCAGGCATAATGTATGTTAAATGTGCTTTAAATAGACACATAAAAGATATATGTAAACGTGAACATAAAATATAAGTACTTAATGCATTTTGAAAATCTTGAAACATTATTGGATCTAAGTATAAACTAGTAACTTATATTTCCTTGAAAATCTAAGAGATTGGTTTAAACATAGTTATAGTACGTAATGAGATTGACAGGTAATGTCCCGAAACAAGGTAAAAATGTGTACCTATATACAGAGTGTCTCAAAAATATCAGCTACTTTCCTCAACTTTAAAACTAGAGTTTCGAGAGTTCTGACAATTTTTGAACATACTAAAGCAGCTCTGGCTCTATACATGTGAAATATAGTACCACAAATTTCGGTTCTCGTAAAGATGTTGAACTCTTTTCATGCATGAAACACCTCATCCATCACTAACGGATTTCAAAATATTTGCATTTTTTTTATTAAAAAAATGATAAATGCAGTAATATTTTGCAATTAGAATTTATCGACTGCTACAAAAAGGTTTAATTTACTTAATCATACGTTTTTTTTGTGCAGTGTCCGCAATGAACGGTAAAATGAAAAATGTATGTTGTTCTGCTGTGAACCACTTCTCTTGTCGTGTAAAGTAATTTGGGTAATTTAAATTTGTGGTTATTATTAATGCTTGCTGTATATAAATCACTAGATGTGATCGACTTTTTCGATTGTTTTCGAATAAAAACTTGCAACGGCACAGTGTAGGGAAGAAAACAATTCTTGTTAAACAAACAAAGTTAAACATGAGTATCCCTGTATATTGCGCATAAACACCAAAAATTAACAAAATCAACATAAGTACTAGTATTGTATGTATTACTAGTAATACATTATTACGAAATGAAAAATGTTACAACATATGTAATACAATAAAGAATTCTTTAAAGCTTTCTTATTCAACTTTAAAGAGTTATTACAACCTCAGTGTGACAAAGAGTCGGGATTCGGCAGCTTGAGCTATCTTGTTATGGATAATGCCCGCCTCGCGCTGCGTTAAAGTTCTTTGCATATGCCTATACGTAATTCTATAACAGTGGCTCGTTTTGTTGTTTTTGGGATGAACAAAATTGTCAATTAATTGAACTTGTTCAACTAAATCACCGCCTTCGGATCTTACTAAGTCATAAAAATCGTTGCTAGAGAATTCGGCATTTTCAGGTAGCCAAAAACTTAGATCATTGGTACATTGTGGAAATTGTGATATTTCTTTGTAAGTGATTGCTTCATTTATATTGTGAGTTTTAAATTGGCATAGAAATCCGGAATCTTTTGACCAAAACAGCCTTATATCGGGTATTTTGTACAAACACATGGCAACTCTTTCTAATCCTATTCCAAATGCCCATCCAATTCTATCAGAAATACCAGAATTCGTTAATATTGGTTGCCTCATGATACCGCAGCCCAACAATTCCAGCCAGTCATTATTGTAGAAAACTTCCAGCTCCCAAGAAGGTTGAGTGAATGGAAATTGGGTATCGACCCAACGATATTCAACGTCGCCAAATAAGTGAGTTGCCAGTCCTTCCAATGTGCTTTTTAATTCATGCTCCATCAATTTGGCAGCTTCCAATGTGTGGCAGGCTTGCTTTTCCTGGCCCCCAAAACTATCTGTATTATTTCCTTGCTCGAAAATCTGCAAACTGCTGTCACTTGGAAATAGTTCATCTCTTGTTCTCAGCCTCACTGCATCCAATTGGTGAAATGCTGGGTAATGAGATCGGTCAATTTCATCTCTGCGATATACATCTCCAACCATTAGGAAATTGTTTAGACCAGCTAATAGAAGCTCTGACTGGTGAGCAGTCATGTGGGCTCGAAGCAACAACTCTGAATTAATGTAGTAACAGTCGCTCTTACATCGTGAAACATGATCTTTTGGTATTAGGAGGCTATCAAAATTCTGGTTCACACTGACTATAGGTGATAGATTGTTATACAGTGAAAAAATAGGGCTTCGCCCTGCACTAACAAAGTTCTGGTAAAAATAATTCGTGATGCGTTGCTGCACAATATTAAGGGGATGAAATTTCTGTAGATGTAGGTTTCGGCCGACATGAGATGCAATTCTACTTGTTATGTTGGTGAATTTATCTCGCGAGTAACTATGGTCCAGCACCTTCACATCTGCGGGCAATGGCTTAGTAACTGATGATAAATATCGTTGGATAGAACGATTCAGGTGTTTCAAACATAACATTTTACTTCTTTGAAAATTCAAAACATCTCATGTAACCTTACTTTTGTTGACGCGTTTGTTAATCCAAGGTTGCCGAAGTTGACGGAGAGAGGCAGAAGGAAAGCTTCTCTCTCTCTCTCTGCCTTGTCTCCGGTTGGGACGCTTGTCACCTGGTAGGGTTGCCAACGCAATCCACGAAAGCGAAAGCCACCAGCCACTAATCACTAGGCGCGTAACATTTCGAAGAAACGAAGCGTTGTAATACATTTTCATATATAGAAATCCAGATGTAGAACAGTCCTTTTCCCGTCTCCTGTTTAAAAGGTATATGAACAAAGAAATTGGAAAATTTGGAGACTACTGAAAATTCCGTTTGTGCAGTATTTGCGCTTATTAATTTATTACATACTATATATTTAAAAACTATTCTAATGAATTAATGATGAATTATGAAGCTGATGTAAACACATAATTATAACACATAAATTATTTATTTTTTCATAGAGTTTTTGGAAATACATTATTTGGCTTAATATAACTTTCCAATGGCAATTGAACTTGCCTATTTACTATACATTCTAGACCAAAGCTAATTTCAGACATAATAATTTTATATAAAAAAAACAATGATACGAAAAAACTCTAGTAAGCTTTTCTCTAGTTACTTTCTATATTTTTCATGCTATTTGAAAATAAGATCTGTGAAACCGGTTTTTTCCATTTTTCTTCAACTGAATAATTTGGTTTCATACTTAATGACAATGACTTGAGAAATGCTGTAGTGCTAATAGTCAATGCAATTTTTTAAATAGATTAGTTGGCTTATGCATCACAAAATTTAATAAAACCCGCTCGTTCAATCGTACTCATCTGTAGCCCCAAAAACTATGGCAAATATTAATGCAAACTGACCAAAAAAACAAATTAATGCAATGGAAATATAAAGTATGAAAAAAGTTAAGACAAAAATAAATTGATAATTTTTGAAATGTTAAGTATTACTATAAACATATTTGCAGCTGGTAACCGGTGAGGTAATGCCATAAAACACGAGACACATCTAAATTAAAACTGCATTGACTATTACAATATGTAGAGATCTAAAACACTTACTATCATAGCGGGTTAATTAATTTACCTATATTCTAAGTTACACATTAATAAATATCTAAACATTACATAATTTTATATTTACTTTTCAACAATACAATACATTTCCTTGAAACGTACTTTAGAATGTGTCTATTTTAATGGCAAATATTCTATTTTAAACAGATTATGTTACAATCATGAAGCCTATCTGAAGGATTCACGAGTTTAGAGTTACGCTTGCAAACCAATACTTGCGCTTGTTACTCGAGAATAAATTACATTCATACAGTAGTTAAGCGCATTTGAAGAACATTTCATTTTCTATAAAAACATTCAGTAATTTTTCTAAACGGTGCTGTATTTTTTTCTTCAAAGTGCTTTTCCGCTTCACTGACAACATAGACGCATACACGATAAACGATCAAATAAATCTTTGGTAATATAAAACATTATAGCTTAAGCGTTAAATACTTTTAGTAGAGATAATATATGTATATGCACATTTCTTCACAAAATAACAACATTAAATTAATAGAGATTGCACAACGATTTATCACAATACAATAATAAACACAAGTAATACAACTTTTAAATATTAATATTAGCAAAAATAGAATTTCAATTGAAACTATAAAGGCTATTTGGCACTTTAAACGGCACTGAAACTTCTATCGCTAAATTACTCGCTGCGGGTATAGCGTTTAGAGGATTAATACTAACGTGGCTTAGAGCTGGACTTTGGATTAATTCCTAACAATAAACCACATTGAAAACTGCTACACACTTCTGAAATTTGCAGATCTTTTTAATTATACATATTTGTTTAATCAACCAGTGCCTTTCAAAGTGGTCATAGCTTGTAAAGAGAATTTAATTCCCAAATTTGTTGGTGTTGCTAATATTCTGTTAAACATTTTAAAAGTAAACAGTTAACAATAAACACATTTTTGCTCTATTTTGCCTATCTGTAAATGTTATATGTGCGTTCCCTAGTTTTATTTAGCGCAATTACGTTACCATATTAGCAAAATCACACAATAAATTAACTAAAAATAAAATTAAACGCGACATAGGTAAAGAAAATATAAAAAATACTATTCAAAATAATACACGCATTAGGTCATTGATACATAGAAATACTCTTACCGGTAAAAAGGCAAAAAATATTTGAACTTAAATAGTGTGAAATTTGGCCTTATTATTAGAAACAACTATTTATAATGTGGTTGACTCACTCACTATTTACATAGGCCAAACACCATCAATGACTAGAAAACGTTGACCACGAAATAATACGTGCCTATAAATATTGAAAAAATTTAATCTTGCTCTGAAAATGTGCAAGCTACTTTCCTAATAATTTACTGTGAAATTTACTTGTAAAGTATGGGAATCAATACGTACTATGTTTGCAAATCTGTTCTAGAGTTTTTCGCGACTGTCTATGCTAACATTCGTTTTCAAACATCAGACCAATTATGAGTTGTTGAACTATTTTTCAATACGTGAAGGGTTTACCAAAAACGTTGGCGCAGAAAAGTAATACCGAGAACAATCGAAATAACCTTCCTCAGATGTTTTCCAGATATTTACATCATCCTGCGACTTGAATTTAGTTCCAATTATTCAAAAAAAGTGCTTGTTTGGTGTATCTTAATGATTAGAACTCGAATAGTCTTAACAACAAATTATTGATACAATAACTGTTATAATACGAGACAATCATTAATTGGGATAAAAATCAAAGAGACTCAAGAACATTTTTCCGAAATGTTTTTGAACTATTTCTCTAACTAAATACAACTATTTAATTTTACAGGCATGTGCAATATTTTGACCTGTTTACAAAACCAAAAGTGCTCTGAATTAATCGTGATAATAAATAAAATGTTTAACTAGTATGTTACTAAATCGATGCGTGTCGATTTTAGCGACGGAAACATTATTATAATTAGTGGTTCTACTGTAAAGGCAGAACAGTAGAATACATGGCACATGGCTACAGAAAGGGTTCTGTGGTTTCTTTAACTAGTAGCGTAACCAGGAGATCTGATAGTCTTTGATGGAATAACGTAAAGAGCGATTTTAGAAATTATATAAACATGATCCTTTGAACCAATTGCTCATACTATATGTTTATTTACAAACTTTCTCAGTTGCAAAATTTTTCGATTAATTTTAAATTACCCTTTACCAATCACAAATATTTAAGAATTCTCCATATGACCATTGTGAAGATATTTCTAAAGTAGACCACATAAAATTATTTGTTAAAAAATATGATCACTTTTTAATTAGGTCCTAGCTACGCTGCTGCTTCTAACAATATTATAAACTATATATCGATTTAAAACGCATTAAATTTAAAATAACTAAAATTTAACTGCACTTCGGACAACTATTACATTTCTGGTACAACTGTTGGCCAAGTGCTGTTGGCATTATAGTACTTTATTTGCTGTTTAAATATTATCTAATCAATAACTCCAACAAATCAGCAATATAAACTCTAGAAATTTTAACATGTGTAAGTAAAAGCAATTAAAGTTATTTTAAGCTTTCTTCAAAGATATGCGTTTCATTTAGACCAGATTTATATTTGTACATACCTAGTTTTAGTTTATGAAAATAAAGATTTACCAACATAAAAAATAAACAAATTTACACAGCCAATCTATGCGCTCTATTGAATTACGGATCTGTGTCTTCCCTTTCAGTCAACTTTAAACAGCAGATTATTACTATTCCTGTTGCCACAATACTTAGGTATTATGTCTAGCCGTTTACATTCAACTTTGCTTTGTTGGAAAACGAGCCTTAAAGATTGTGTTTCAGGACTGCTTTTATACAGCTTTTAAGATATCGGCCTCGTTGTGAATAACTCGCAGCATTTAAAAACTATAGTTTCAAATTTACAGAAATCGAATTCGAATCAGACAATTGTATTTACAAAACTCTGTAATCAACACAAACTGACTTTTTTGTATTCGACACAAAAGCCTACAAAATTATTGAATAAATAAAAAATAACATTAAACAAAAAATTGATTTTCAATCTCTATAACGAAGACCCTCGTTCGATCAAAGTTTTGCATCAGCAAATTAAGTTGGCATTACCCTGCCCAGCTTTAAAACACTTGAAAGGAAAATACTGTTAGTGATGCCAGGCCAGCTGTCATCTCATTCGATCAGCTTTTTTAAAATAAGATTTTCAAATCGACGTGACAATCAACCAGCTTGCGGGATAGTTAAACTAAACCACGCTGAGAAGAAACTTTCAAATTAAGAAATATGAAATTAAAATAGTTGAAGAAAGATTAGAAACTATGACTGGCGGTGTATGCTAGTTACTCAGTCACTATTCGAGAAGGACTAAAGTCTTTGTTGTAGATGGAAAATCCTTGAAATTCCTCTTGATTGATGGATTGCAGCACTTCGTTGCTCACCGGCGTCAAGACGGGCTCTTCTCTAGTAAATTCGGCGTCGAAATTCGCCACATCTCTTCTGTTTTTCTGTGATAATACCATTGATGTTACAACAAGCAATTTGAAATGATAGAGGGAAAATTATATCTTGATATTTGAAATGAATTATCACATCTGTTTCCGATTCGACTAAATATTACCATTTCATGTACAACCATAACCAAACACAGCATGAAAGGTGATTCAAAATAGGCGTCATTCCTTTTAAGGGGTAATAGGGGGCTCACTTAGGGAGGCAGATTACTTTGAAAAATAAATTTCGCAGTTTTTATAACAAAAAATTTTGTAAACTATTTTTCCTGTACTCTTGTACTGTAATTTTGAATCACCCTGTATTTACTTTCAAGAGGACTAATAACAAAATCACATTTTTGCTTGTGAGTTCACGACACATTTACCACAATAATATGAAATCAACAACGAAATACTTACAATTTTTGGCCTAAATGGTGGTTTAACTTTTCGATTCTCCAGGGCATTCCAATCGATTTCTTTAAAGAACGGATGGACTAAAATTGCGGCTTCACAACCCTGGTTCTGCACACATCCTAAACGTTTATGTGAACTTTTTGTCATAAATCCTTTGAGAATATTAACCTGAAAGTAACATTTATTTACAAAAATTATGATCAATGTGTTATAAGATTTTTGAATTAAATAAATGAACATTGCTTACAGCCTCCTTGCTCAGCCAGACGGGATATAGTACATCATCGTGCAGAATCGATTCAAAGAGATCATCTTCATTATCAGCTTCAAATGGAGGCTGACCAGCCATCATCTCATACATCAAAACGCCTAACGCCCACCAATCTACGCTAGCACCATAATTTAATTCCTGTAAATAAATGCAACAATAAATAATCTGCTTTAGATAATTAAATATTATATATTCTACCTGTAGGATCTCAGGGGCAATATAATCGGGTGTTCCACAAAAAGTAGTAGTGGTCACGCCATCAACAATTCCTTCTTTGCACATTCCGAAATCGGCCAGTTTGCAGTGGCCCTCCGCATCCAACAAAATATTATCAAGTTTTAAATCGCGATATATAACACCGTTTCTGTGTAGAAATTGCAATGCCAATGTGACTTCTGCTGCGTAGAATCTGAAAAAAGTATCGAGAAAATAAAGTACCTAAATTTAAAAAGGACTACAATATATTGTTTTGATGAGGTTGAACATGTTATTGAATCGCAAGAGACAATAGTATGAATTCACGCTCACCTAGCTCTCGGCTCATCAAACTTCTTCGCTCGCTGAATTTGAAACATAAGATCGCCTCCATTAACGTACTCCATAACAAAGAATAATCGATCGCGCGTCTGGAAACATGAGTGAATAGCTGTTAAAAATGGATGTCTTGCAGCTAGTGTTAAAATCCGTTTCTCAGTCATAGTGCAATCCACATCGTCATCTTGAATGATTACATCCTTCTTGAGAACCTTCACAGCGTAAACTTCATCAGTGCCCTTTTTCTCAGCCAACATGACTTTACCAAAACTGCCCTTTCCCAGTACTTTGATAAAGTGGAAATCATCCAAACCGATGCTATGCTTGCCACCACTTCTTTGTTGCTCATCTGAAGTAATGCAGTGCTAGACAATGTTTATGATTGATGAAAAATACTTACCACCATATTGCAGCTTTCCCTCCAAAAGTTTGGATAGATTCTCATCCAATCTAGCTTCGATAACTGATGTTGTATTTTCACTTCCACCATCAATTGGGGCTCCATTTCCAGAAGTTGGCAGTACTTTAGCTCTTCTAATTGGCGTCTTACTATCCGGAGACACACCTAAATGGAGCAACACTAAATTTAAAAATAAATTGCTCACAATGAATTTTCGGATGCCTAACATTTAGCAAAGATGTACCAAGCGATTTCCAATTTAAATCCTCAGCGCATACGTATAAAGTACTTACTATATATTTTTCAATTTAAGTATCCCATTTAATACAGATAAAACAAAGGCAAAGGTAAAAATAGTTTTAAAGTATCTGTCACTTTAGCTAGAGCAAATTTCTTGATAATAGCTTGCATTTGCATTTCTCAAATGATTTAGGCCCGGTATTATAATGTCGGGTTGACCAACGGTTGAGATTCAAACCACGATTGAAGGCCAGTTTGGGTATCATAAACCCTAGCCGACGGTTGAAATGCCGGTTCAGCAACGGTTGACGGCTGAAAATCCAAATGAGCGATTGATCGGTGTTCTAAAACTTCTAAAATAACGTTTTTCTGTACAATCTCTTCTTGGTATGATAGTATCTCTAGATACAACAACATCGCTTATAATAGCATGTGCAGTATTGCATAATATAGCACAAAACATGAATGAACCAAATTAAATTCCAAACTCCAATTTCCAGTTTGATACCGAAGAAATGACTCAAGAAAATAATAGTACTTCAAATAATAATAATAATAATAATAATGCTATAAGGAATAATCATATAGAAAATGTTTATATATTTTATGTTATATATACTATATTTTACGAATTTAGTTGAGAAGCAAGCAGAAAATAATTATATACCACGTGGGTTCGTATATTTCAACTTTTGGCGAGTTTATTAAAGGTAGTATTATTATTACAATTCTTGTACTTAGGAGTTTTTCCTACCTTTACAAATAAGCTCGTTAGAAGCTGTAATATCAGTATAGAAAGTAGAAACAGAAAACACGGTACATTACCTCTCATGTGGTACATTACACATGGCTGTGTCCGTCTTTTTTGTTTTTGATTACGTTATTCAACGATATAGTTACATCTACAAATCTGCGCCGGTATATCCGTACTATTCGTTTACCTTTTTCATACATTTTTAATGCACATAACTTTAGCAGAAGTGAGGTATAAACACGAAGTAAATATTGTAAAAGTTCACAAGCACCATAGAGAAAGTAAAATAAAATTATTTTACTTACTCTATGACAAGCACTCCTTCTCAGAACGGACGAGAAAGCAATGGATTTGAACATCMCTTGCGACTGGTTTTGATTGGCTGAAGCTGTTCACGCAATGTGGCCAAGGTTACATAAAATAAGTCAACTCYTTTGCTCAGCAGTTTTTATAATACACAACTCAACTACCGGTTGCCTTATTCTATGGAATTATCCGACGGTTGGTCAACCGGCGGTTCAACCCGGCTTTTATAATACCCACCCTTAAACTAAATAATAGAAATTGTTTACCGCAATTGAAAAAACATTGTAAAAACCATAAAGTGAGACGTAAATTCAGATACTTTTTCTTAACTTAACTCATACGAATAATGACTCTAGTGTAAAAACAACAATAAATTTTAGAAGCATACATTTACAAAGCGCTTTAAAACAAGCGTTATTTATAGCAGTTGAATATGAAAACTGGATTATTGGCAATAAGCATAATCGTTCATGTAAAAAACATAGCCACATCATGCTCATTAAAATATTGAAAAAAACAATACCTAGACGTGAAAACAAAAAACTCCTAATTGATGATAATGGGGTAAGATCAATTATCTATAAACAGTCTGACGAAATGTTTATGTACGCACAAACTTAATAAAAATGAAAAATAATAAAAATAAAATGAACATACCATGCACATACAAAGTGATCGGACTAAGCACAGGCAGCGGATCAGGTTTACCTATTTCAGAAAGGATCTCTGCCATCTGTTTTGTATTGATGCCACAGTTGTTGGCGACATTCTTCTGGCATCTCTTGTGAACATTCAGAGAACATACTTCGCATTGAAGTCCTTGCCTAAACAGGCCATAAAGTAACGATCCACAGTGATCGCAAAATGTGAATCTTTTGTAGTTGTGTACGACAAATCGATGTGGAATATTCACATTGAATCCGGTACTCTGAACAGTCGGCTATAAAATGTGTGGAGAGTATTTACCAGATTATTAATGAAGATATTGACAAAAGCATCTAAAAAAATTAAAATGTAATTTAAAAACAATTACAGTAAAGTCTTAGCAGAAGCAAAACTCAAAAATAGCTAATCACATTTAAATAATTCACATGTAAAGACCTAAGCAACTGAACAATTGCTAGCAGGTACCAGTCCCAACAAATCCATATTGTCACATAGACAAGTGGAAATCGAATTAGATTAGTGCAAGTGGAAAATGTCGGATGATGATCTTGAAACTGAAAAGGCTGGAGAAGATGGCGAGGGAGGAGAAGAAAGATATCCTTATGGGGAATATGAAGGGGGTAAAGACGAGCAACTTGATCGTCATGGATGGGGAAGCGCACTTTTACCAAATGGGGACATTTATGAAGGACAATACTATCATGGAAGAAGGCATGGAAAAGGTGATACTATTCGAACATAAAGTAAATAATAAGAATAGTTACGATATGATCCAAAAATAACATCTCTTACTAGTACTAATTTGAAAGCGAATATATCCAAGTAATTCAAGTAACCTTTTTCAAATAAGACCATAAACAGAGCAAACAATGAACTAAAATCGACTAATTCAAAAAACCATGTGATATGGTTTTATAAACCTACGTTAATTTACTAAGTAAAAAACGCATGTATAGGTTTATATTGTTTCAAAAATGGTGCAAGATATGAAGGCGAGTGGCGCAAGGGCTTAAAACACGGACATGGCGACTTTCTATATCCTGATGGAACAAAATACATGGGGCATTGGAGAAAAGACTTAAAACATGGCCAGGGCACTTATTTTTACGCAAATGGCGACACATACGAAGGATTTTGGTATAAAGGTCTCAGACATGGTCTAGGCACTTACACCTACAAGTCTGTAAATGTAACTCACTACGGAACATGGAAAAATGGTAGAATGGAAGGGCCTGGAATAATAAATTACCCATACTACAGGTATGATGATGCGTCCCGAATAACGCTAAGTTATCGTTTTCTATTCAGATATCATGGAAACTTTGAAAAGAACTTACCCAAAGGAAAAGGTTGCTTTACTTTCGATGCTAAATATATGCAACATGGATTTTATGTCAATATGAGAGACCCTGCATTTGACTATGTAGGAGCCGAAGAATTAAAAATTGAAGGCACTGATAATAACCCTCCTGTTGAAGATTTGGGAACCCCAATAGGAATAGGTATAAATGGACTACAACCTGTGCCCCAAAAACAAAAATTAGCTAGCCAACTAACTATTTGTAGTTCCAATCTGGAGGGCAAGAAATATAACGGAATATAAAACGGAACTTCTCCCACCAGAACCAGTTCCATTATTAGTAAAGGATTCAGAAGACTCAATTCTGGACATTATCGAATACCTGCAGCAACAATATCATGAAGGAGCTGGAGCAGATGAGGAAGAGCACAGAGCCACGCCTTCACCAGTACCTCAAGATATGTTAGTGGATATCCCAGATATTGATTTGGATAACATATAGACCTGCAGTGTTAATTCAGGAAATTTGTGTTTGGTTTCACAGTTACAAAGTTACTACATAATATTAGTCGGAAATATGTTTCACAATAAAGTGTGTATTAAATAAGAACATTATTTTCTTTAAAAAAATATATCCAAACTATTGAAAACTGTAAACCTAATTGATACCTACTTCTTCTTTCATTCCCGGACATTTTGTTAGCACCACGTGATGGCATCTTTTGTGAACCACGCAGGTGCAAACTGTAAAAAAATGCGTTAGCTAATTTTTGAGAAGCCTCAAATTAGTAAAAAAATGACAGAAAATATATAATATTGGTGCGTTAGTAAGCTAGAAGGCGTCCAAAGAGCGTACATTTGGTAACTTCGTTCAGAAAACCCAAAAAAATACAGTTTCTTAATATCTTCATATCGTCATAAATCCTTTTGTAATATGCTACTATAAAACATTTCTTAAATTGATTTGATAAAATAAGACACCCTTTGGATTCCCCTTAAGACTAATTAAAGCATAATTTAAGTAATTATTAAATAAACTTACAAAAAAAATAAAAAGCATAGAGAGCCATACCAGTGCAATGGTGCTGCAAATAAAAATAAATATTAACAAAAGGGTTAAAGACCAATACCTGGAAAGTGAGTTAAAGGCCTTTACCATAATATAAAAAATTATATGTGCTATTTACACAGGGTATCCAGCACATATTGATCACGAAAATGTGATAAAGTGTTTGGATGCACTGCATGAGATAGGCTACCAGTCAGCCTATTTTACAAGGACAATTTTTAGCTGATAGGTAGCTAAGCAAAAAGCATAAAAGCAGTGATAAGTTACACTTGTGACATGCTTTAAATTGGATCATACCTTGACATTGATAGCCTTGCTTGCCCAAACCCCTGAAAATAAAACCACCATTAACATATTTAAAAGCCCAGTGCTTAATGCGAATTTTTGCAAAACCAGCGCTTGAAAGCTCGGCCATTTGAACAATAATTTAAATGCAAGTCCCGCTGATTTACCCCAACATAAAACACAGATGACCAAATGAGATTTAATATTGAGCGTATTTGCCTGAAATAATAGGATAGTGCTATAATAGATTAACCCTAAGAATATGAAAATAATAACAGTGCTTGATGCAGGGGATGAACCCTTAATAAATTCATAAAGAAGTTAATTACTCCTTAGTTGATAGGTCAGCGGATAATAGTACTTACCATATGAATTCTCTACAGATCGAACAAAAAGTAGGTTGTCTTAAAAATGTTGCCATAAATTTATGCCCATTAACTTGATGCACACGACGACGCATGGCACCTCGGCGCCTGTTGAATCCTTGCCTTTCCTTAAATTCCCTTGGCTTAACTCCATATTCTGTTTCAACAATAACTTAATTATTAATTAATTAAACAAAAATAGTATAGTGAAATACCACTTGAAAACATTTTTGTGAAGCTCAATAGAAAATAACAACTTACTAGTAATATTTACTTACCTTTGGGAGTATGTTTCAAATCGATTTTAACGCGTAGGCGCCCCTTCGGCTCTAAGTTAACCTGAAAAACAAAGCAACTTTGCAATAAAAACTTTTTTATTGGGCACACATTTTAAATCAGAAGAAACACATCACATGTGAAAAAATACATGAAACAACATAAATCATTTTTRGAKAKTTTGATTCATTTTCAATCKGWAAAYCRTGYYTTARAYAWWTGTTTAAGGCACGGTTTTCAGATTGAAGTAAATATGTATAGGTATCTAGAGTAATAGATATTGGACAAATAAAAAATAAAAATTAGTATKGGTCGGGTATTCAAAAAATATATTCTAAAAAACCTCTTTATACTTATTTATTTTAGCATTTTCTTCTTATAAACTAATCTTAAATGGATCTACACATAAAGCAAATATCTGTTCCATTCTTCTCGTATGCTTAAAGATAAAAATCTAAAATTTCATTTACAATTCGCAATCTGTATCTTGAAACATTAAGTACTGACTAATGTTCCAAACACTACACTTACAATAATTAATTACCTAGGTAAGTAAATATTATTCTGAACTTAGCATAAATACATTTACTCGTTTGGAACTGTACAAAGTTGCAAAAAATATGGTTTTAGCAAGCATTTAGATTATTGCTTAGTTGCGTTTTTTTTATAAAATAACGATTATTCCGAATTCCTTTCATCCATGTTTATGGGAGTATTAAGAACAAGAATCTGAAAATTGTGTGGGGCATTAAACATGTAATATTTTAGTTAATTCAACATCTTGTACTTTTTTCCCACTAAACGCAAATATAAGCCATATTTACTAAGTCATAAAAATGGCCGAAATACAACGAATTTAAATTTTTGTCCGTAACTTTTCACGTTTTCTGAAATGTGAGCTATTCTCAAATTTCAAATCAAATAAAATTACATTCAGTTCAAATTTGAAAATTTTGCAAGCTGAAATTTCTGTTTAACGTTGTAACTAAAGTTCAATTAAGGTTCGCTGTTAAAAAAATGTGCCGGCGTATTAGAAGTAGCGTAGAAGATCGCAATGTAGAATATTCGATCCATTTTGTTGCATCAGAAATATTTTTTATATACTTAACACTATGAGCATATTTGCCAATTTATGAAATCTACACAAAAAACATAAACACAAACAAACACGAGTAAGTCCAAATATTTAACGTGTAAAGCTGAAATGAGACACTTAACTAAGAACATTGACATTTTCAGAAAATATGAACGCAGAAAAATTAATTTGCAGTGGACAAGAACACACACGATTTTTATAAAATAAAAAAGTTCAATTTTCTTTAAACATATGTTCAATTTGAAAAAAAATTGAAATATGCATCACATTTGCGCACTGTGTCCATTTTGGTTTTTCTTGTTTTAAAATCAAAGAATGATTTACAATCAATTTTTTATCTAATCAGTAAATCGTAGCGATATTTTTTAATAAAGCTTAGATAATCAGGAATCTTGGAAACATATTAAATACAGAATATGCAGACACAAAACGCAATAAAACATAGAAAATAGCTTAAAATAATTGAATAAAACTGCAACATAATAAAATCACTCATTCGATGATACATATCAATCAAAATTGTATTGTAAAAATGTAGTTCACCCACTTCAATACATTTTCTGCATCGTCTAAGTAGCTACTGAATTTATTGCAGCTGAAATTTGATTAGGATTTTGATCCATATCGTTGCAGGTTTGTTGAATTCGTAAAACTAAGACTAGATTAATCTTGTTTTGCATGTCCCCAAATGTAAAAGTTCAGTGGATTAAGATCAGGTGATCTGGGTGGCAAGACCACTGGTTCTATTCAATTGACCACATTATCATTTCTAGTCGGCCAATCTATTATAGGTGCAATTGCGTTAGCGGAGTGTAATTGCTGCCATTTTCGTAATAAGTATAAGAGTTATACAGATAAATTGAAAGGAAGCTTTTTTGAAGAATCCAAATATTTATTTTAATAAAAAACAGTGGCGTACATTGTATTCATTAAAAACATCGATTAACGTGTTGATTAATAGTCCCACACTCTGTTATCGCATGCACAATTTCGTTTAAATCCCTACAACCGATTGGCAACAATTAATAAACTTAAGCACCCTGCATTTCATTATCGAAGAACTGGAATGTGGCTTATAAGTAAAGCAAACTCTTATTGTTTTTCGATTCTGTATCATCCCTTAAAATTTTCGCTCTGGAAACTGGTCCAGCGTGTATAAAGCGCACATTCTTTTTGTAGAAACGACCGCCTTACACAAGTCGTAATTTTACTAAAGTTTAGCACTGTATAACCGTATCCCTACTAATATAATAAACTAAGATTATTGCCAATCAATTCAATCATAAAGATATTTTTTCATTGTTTAATCGGTGACTCAATGAGTACAATATTTTCAGGTGTATTATCTGGATCGACAGCCTGATCCATTGATGATAGCTAATGCATGTTTTACATTATTAGTATGAAACTAATTTATTATGTTTGAAGCAACGTCGGTAGTTGGTATGTGCAAGAATAATTCTAATAGACTTATAGTTGTACCTAGTCAGAGTAACATTAGCAACGAAAAAATTAAGAGCTTACGAACAGCTCTAAGGAGCAAATTCGTTCTGGATATGTGTTGACAGTACTGAAGCAAGTAAGCGACGAACGAGGAACAATGTTATTGAAACCTGAGCCGAACAAGTCAATAATAAACAAGTGTAGACTGATCTTACCCAAAAGTCGGACTCATCCTTGTCCCTGGTCAGAAGCTCATCAAATGGTATCGTGCAGTTGGCCACAAAAACATCGGGTGGTATTGCGGCATCGTGAAAAACAGTAAGGGTGAGAGTCTTCGCATTCTCCGCCCTGTGCTCGAATTGTTCATTCCAAACTGGGTCGAATGTTTTCTGCTTGGTTGTGGATTGGGCAAATTGGGTGTCGTCCACGTCGACCGTAACATAGGGGTCCAGCGGCTGCTCGTCCTTCCCGAACGCGTGTCGTTTGGAACAATCCGTAGGCCGCAGACCTTGAGCCTCGCATATTTCTACCCGAACTGTGCCCCTAAACATGGCCCTTTCACGCTGCCAATGGCTATCGCGATTATTCTCACCACACCCGCACTGTTATGTTTTTAATAACGTGATAACTACATAAGTAGATGCAATGAAGAACAGGGGAAACAAATCCAGAAAATAGAATGGCTGGCTTGACAGCCATGAAGGTCGCGCGCTCGGCTCGTTTCGGTTTGGATACCCTCCCCGTCGCTCCCACAGGCATCGACCCTGCGTACATGGATTCACCGTGACCCAGATTCCAAAAAACCAGGACGCTCGCTCCAGCTTTGTGCCCTTCTTGAGTAGATGGCACTCCACGATCCAGATCTGCTATCCAAAATCGTTTGTTTAGTGATTTTTACATCGGCCGTTCCACTCTGCTTTTAACAGCTTATTCCAGCTCGCAAAATGATATCCATCAATTGGGTCAATATACATTTGCATCTAGAAACAATCCTGAAAATGGAGCGGGGAAATCATAGATAAAGACCACAGTGGGAGAAATCCAGAAATTCACAAACAATAACAACATTCCAGACATTCCTTGACATTTACTACTCATTTTTTCAGTGTTGCCGATATGCCATTTTGAAATCGGAATGGTAATTGATCGGGGGAGAAGAATCGAATTATATCGATTCAGTTTTTAAAATATCTTGACAAATTTTTGCATACGAAAGAAGTTTTCACAGTCTAGCCTAAGAAGTGATTAGAATTTTGTTCGGTAATTACTAAGATTATAGACTTGAAGGCGCATTAGATATTTCAATTTATTTACACTTGAAGATCCGGTGACATCGGCAAGGAAAGAGAACCGAAATAGAAATTTACTGATACAGAACAAAGATGTCATATGAGACATTATTTCGACAAAATAACTCGATTTTTGTAAATACAAGTCTTAAATAAACTTGCCAAAGACTGGCAATGAATGATAAAATGAGACATCAACATAAATTTACTAGCACCAAAAGATGTAACCTAACAAGATATGCTTTATTGCGGCAAGTTTTCGACGCATATCCATTTTATTTAAAAAACTGGAACGACAAAAATATGATTAATGTGATATGAATCAATGAAGTGAATATTTATTAAATTGTAATCAGAATAAATGTGCAATTTTATGTAATATCGTAGTCTAGTACCAGATCGCGAGGAATAACTTTCAAGGTACAAAATAGAAAATAAAATAAAAACTCGATACCTACTGCAAGTTATTCACCTGCTTGGGATAGGATTAAAGGAATGTAAGGAATAACAAAACATATATTTTCTGGGAATATTGAAACAAAAACTCACAATTTTTTACGTTTTTATATTATTTGAAACAAATCGTTGATGTAATTACAATAATGCTTAGACAACATTAGTTGTCACAGTTAGCCACATGTTTACGGGGATCTACTCTGTAAATGACCCCCAGAAATAGATTCTACAATTATGTGTTAATTAATCGTAGATTCTATTTCAAAAAATATTTCATTTTCAGTTTTAAAGAATACGAAATTTCCTGTTAGCGCAGATCGTCAGAAAAAATCACAAAAAACATTGGGACACCCTATATACAATAGTTGCCGATGTAGGTTTGAAGTTAAAAAAAGGGAATCTTGAAATATTTGAATTTGAGAAAATTGAATATAAATATGGGTTTGGACGCGTTTCATTTCCAAGATGCAGGGAGTTCAGTTAAATAGCTTTAAAACGCTTTAAGTAGCTGATTTGAATGAACATTTATCAAACAATAACATAACATAATCATGTCATAACATAACATAACATCATAATCAAAACTTTTCACGAACGATTTCAGCAATAATAAGGGTGTTAATGCCAAAATATTGTATTTTGGCAGTTTTTTCTTAACGCTCTACAGTTTTCCTAAGGAAATAAATCAATGTTTTGTTGTCAATCAAGTTATAACTAAACCCTGTCCCAAATCGGAATAACAAATAAAAAAAAAAGGTTGCAGATATGCAGATTATATTCGAACAACTCATAAAACTTTCCACTATTTATAAAAACAACCCCAGTCACACAAATGCAAACATATGCGTGAATAGCTATAGCTTTTAACATTTGCCTTTTAGTTATCAGACATTGAAACATTTAATAGCAAGAGTAGCATATGCTGTAACCTTTGTCGGTAAGATTAAAGGCACACTTTGTACAAAATTGTTGGTCGCATTTCTCACAATTTTCACAGCAATCACAGCATAGCAGTTTGTCACAATAACAGCATTTTACATCACACTCTCCCACTTTGGTACACTGACTACAAATTATTGAGTGAGATGATGATTTCCTAGTTTCAGTACTATCTTTCGCCAATTTGGCGCTGAAATGATTGGAAGCCCCTATAAACAACAGTTGTAATGCTCTCTCAGACGACGGAGACATAATTCTGCGGCCTTTTCCTCCCATATTAATCTCCTGCTTTTTAATGGGGTGCACGTTTTCGGTAAAAGGACAGAGTCGCTTTGACATGGTCTACTGAGATCTAAAAAGTTCAAACAATTAGTTTGATTTAACTTAATTAAACTAATTTATAGCAAAAAATTAATCGTACTATTTTTGAACATTTTTTTCTGTTGGGCATGACTATGAAACTTTTGCAAATGCATACTTTATTTCGGTTTAAACGGCAATACACTTTTTTTTAAGATGCCTATACGTAGCTGAATGTTCAATAAAATTAAGTACATTATTACTTTGGTCTAAGATTGGTTGGAGAATTTGAGTAAAACTAGAGTTAATTCGTTCTAATTCCAAATTAGATAAATGTTCGTATAACACAAGCTCAATAAACGCGATAAACTTGTGGCAAATATATATTGTTTGATTTGCATGAACTATATTTATATTATCATACGTGTCATATTTCCGTTTCCCCTTTGGCCACGTAAATTTAACATTCTCGAGTAAATAGTACAAAACCTTTTGCAAAAATATTAAAAGTGTTTTTAGCTTTATCATGTAAGTTTTAATTCAAAACTACGTTTAGCCAAATTCTGTTACACGCAGTTTTTCAGACCAAAATTATAAAGATTTATGGACTTTATAGAAACTGTAAGATACCAAACCTTGGACTAGAGAGAAACATGCATAGAAAATGAGATAATGAATGGAAGTAATATGCTGAGCATTCTAGTTCTAAACCAGCAATAATTAAACAGAAGGAAAAAATCCTTAGGATTTGCATTAATGAGCTTCAATTTACTGTACTTGAAGCTTTGTAAATTGCAACAAATAAAGAAAAATGGAGAAACTGCTGCTTCCACATTTTGTAGCCAGTAAAGGATGGATTAATTGTTTGAGGAACCGCTCATCCTTATAAAACTTAAAAATAGAACGTGAAATTGAACAAACCGATCAAAAAACTAAAAAGAATGTAACGGAATCAAAAGAATAATTGAAGGGGATGCATATATTTCTAAAACATCCTTATGTCCGCGGTTAATAGTTCTTGCTGATGACGAAAAAAGCATTGTTTAATCGGTATTAATGTTTAAATATTAGCGTATGTAAGAAGTTAATTTTTAAGTTAACTCACAAATTATGCAGGGACAAAACCATAACACAAATATGTTTCAACAAATAGAAAATCTAGCACATTTACAGGGCCCCTTAAACAGGGAGCATTTTGTAGATGAAGCTGACGAAGGGGTCACAGTCTAACATACAAATTTTATCAGGTGCTTCAAACTTGAAGCAGCTTCAACAGCGTTTGTGGGACGATTTCTTTTAAAAAAACGGTTAAAAACAATCGAACTGCGGGCATTGGACAACACTTTTAAGCTAATCTGTAGTGTAGTGGTTTAATGCTTGGGGGGTACAAAAACTTAAAAATCAGATAAATCATATATGATAGTAAAGGAATTCTGTTTGAGAATAACGTGAGCATATTGTTAACGTTGATACTGTCGAGAGCCTGATCAAGTAGACATTTTTTCGAAGTAGTTCCTTAGTATTACATAAATTTGAAGACGATATATTTATTTCTGAAGATTTTATGGATTACTTATATGGAGGTCATATGTATTGTCCTTTTTTATGTTTAAAGGGTAAAAAATTGGAGCAAACCCCAATACCGCTTAAATAAAATTCCACTGTTTACTTACCTGACGACTACTCAGAACTAGAATTAAAAATTAACCGTAACAAGAAAGACGGTCTGCAAATATCACTAGAAATATTTCAAGCAGGTATAGAAAAGTTATAGTCAGTAAATAATAATAATAGAAATATAACCTGTAAAAAAGTACTGACAACAGCTGATTTTAACATAGTGCATTCAGGTCGACCAACACTGTAATCAAATAAATGTCTTCTATGTGGAGTTCAGCCGTACTTCAACATAAGCTTAACTTCTATATCTAGATATTCAGAATGACTGACTTAGAAAAGTTCTATGATTGCAAGACACCCTCCGTGCTGACATGCAAATCTTTGGAAAATTAAAAATCAGTTAACATATTGGCGGCCTTGTTCTATTGGTTAACCTGGATAGGAAATTCTATTCCAGCATAGCCAATATTCTATGAAATTCATTAATTTCTTCTAATTAAAGCGTTTTTTTTGTAAAAAACTGATTTCCTTTGCACAAAAATTAGTTTTAGATTGTGCCCTGTTCAATGACTGGGACTCTAAACTACCGGTTTTACTCACACGTGGGTTTTCATTAGCAACTCAAAGTCACCTCATGTCAATCTTTTACTAAATTTTGTTAATTGCAATGTGACATATTTCCTACAAGACACTTTCAACGTTTATTTTTGTTTAGGAAAATCTTTCGAGTGGTTAATTGAAATATCGGAGATTTTTGAAAAATTTGCGGTTGTTTTTGAATCGCCCGCCTTTCGTTATATCGATCGTCTTGTCGTTGTCCCAACGTCGCAGACAAGGAAGGAATTCTCACTGCGTGTTCGTTCCTTTTAAGAAGGAGACGTCTAGAAATTTGGTGTAGCTGTGTGAGGTGCTTTTCATAAAACAGTAAGAACGTAAGTATTTGCCCTTATTAATTCAATTAAACTAGATTAAAACGATCCTAAATTTCCGCTGGATTGTTTGGAAACGAACATTCCATCCATTGTAGAGCCATTTTGTGAAAATTTCTTGGAATACTGTATTGCTAATGGTGGATCACAATGGTCATGCTTGGGGTATTTTTGAGCAGGTTCATTTTGGTTGCTAATTCACCAGGATTCAGGACATGTTTTCAAGTAAATGATGTGGTTGGGTTTCACTTTCAGAGATTAATTTTAGCCACGCATTCTAAATACTAAAGGACCAAAGGTTGGGTGGCAAATCTACCATTCTCTTAGTCGTATGTCGTTGACCTGTTTTATTCCTTTATGCCGTTATACTTTTCAGTAATACTACTTTCAGTGACTTGGCTTTCTGCACTTTATCAATACATTTCTCTGGCCACAATTGTTTTTATCGAATTTTTTCTCAATAAATCATGACCTTGCCATGGCTCACTTTCATTTAAAAATGGGGGCATCACCTTTTCAATAACTTTGCTTTATTTTTCTGTACCGTTCCTTAAATTGCCAAAATGCCATTCTCCATAGTCTTAAGCTTTCGCAAGGTGTTTTTCCCAGTTGCTCCACGTCTGAAGGATAATTGCATTAATTGAGAAGAACATACTGCTGACTTTAGTGACTTTGAACTTTATTGTTTTTCTTTGTGGTGTCAACCTACTATATTTTACTCGGAACTTGATTTAATGCCAACTAATCAATCATTTAATCTCAGAAATTCACTGGTTTGAGTTTTTAGGCCAATAAAATGTGTTATGAATTAGTTTAGCTCAAAACATATCATATCTAGTCTTTAATATAGTCATTATTATTCAATTATAGTCATATCTAGTCCTTAATGTTAAGACATATCCTTTATATACGTGCAACACTATTTGAGTTCAGAAAAACTAACTTGAACAAATATACCTAGTTAGTTTCGGAATTATGTTTAAACCTTCAAAGCTTTTCTTTTTCAAAGTCTTAAGTCAACACTGCAACTTATATTTGGTTAACCGATTACTTTTCAACTTTTATTGAATTAAATAACAACTAAGTAATAGTACCTATATAAAACAACGTGCTTCCACATGTAAATATCTTGGAAATCAACATATTTTACTTAATAATTAAACTTTCCAATGCTACATGGTAACATTTCATTGATGATTTCACACACTTTTTTAATGTAAATTTGTCCGATTTTTTTACAATATTGTTGAATTCTTACAGTGACCAACCGCCAACCGATTACAATTGAAAATGATTAAATATCTAATACTTAATGCAGATTACTGACTGAATATTTGCAATTTGCATGGGAACAGTATTTTTTGCGTCACCGAATTAGATTTGTATAATGATTATTAATGCGATTTGGATAATTCGTTACAAGCAAACCAACATTGAGCCTGTCCCTTTTGTATTAATGAGTTAATAACGGCCATCTTAATTAGTTTTAAATTAACATTTTTCACCAATCAGTTTCGAAAGCGATTAGATGATGCATAATATGCACCTTCATCGATGCAGGAAATACTTAAATCTATTCAGAAATTACGTGTATTCAAAGATGAAATAATTTTTTTGCATTTAAAACATACGTTCTCATTAGAAGATTTCTAACTGCACTATAATTTGAAGTGAAATCCAGTATAAATGTAATTTTTACTGATTGAATATTTATTGCAAATTATCAGAAATATATTTATTTTCTGCTCTATTTTTTGCGATATTGTCTTATTTAATTAATTTCACCTGTGCAAAAGTACACTTGTGCAATGAAAATAAATCAATTTGTTTTTACACGTTCTGCATTCTTTAACTACTTCGTTACGTTGTGATAATAAACGTTCAGTATTTGATACTTAATTGTTTTCATTTAGGTTGAGCGAATATTTGTATAGTTTCTTTGGGTTATCGTTCAATTTTTCGTGCTATATTGTACAATACATTCGATAAAGGTTGTGAGTAACATGCACTGTATTGAAACAAAGAACCGATAAATTATTTGTTAATAGTATGATTCACCCAGTTTCAACTTTTGAATCTTAAAATAACTTCCATCTTGAGATTATTGCTTTAAAGGTATTTTTGTATTAGATCATTTGTTATATAAGTTAAGGCAGTTAAATGTAGAACTTTTTTTTCAGAAATTTTTGTATGAGTCAGAAGGTAGAAAAACCAGTCCTATCCGGTCAGCGCATCAAGACCAGAAAAAGAGGTATGTACTTTTAGATCATTAATTAACTTCTTCATCTTTCCCGTGATTACTAACTAAAAAGTTATAGGCATGGCTTTAACTAATCTTTACTTACTTTAATTGCAAAATTGCGGGTACCTACCAATCGAAGTTTAACTTATCCGTTTGATCGTCGTCATTTTATCGATGTGTGTGATTCACATATTTAACGACAACCAATGATTCTTCGAACATCGTATTAGCTTCATGTATTTTGTATTTTACAAGAGTTAAACAAATTTAAATGCAATCTGTTTACAAATACTTCGCAATGATATTTGCAGTAGATATTTATAATGTCACACCCAATAGAATCTCATGTAAATACATAGAAACTGTTCCTCCAGTCAAACGTTAATATGAGGAGTTCATCTAGTTAACTGCACCATTGAATTGCAATCTTTAACGGACACTTTGATTCTGGTTTTCGTGCCTGATTTAGCTAAAGCCTTCACTGCTTTCAATGTTAATTTTCAAAGGTTCAACATATTGTGGGACCATAGATCAATTGATGTAGATGAGTTATAATGGAAAATAGTTATAAATACGCGACTGATCAACGCGATTTTTAATAGAGCTTAATACTGGTTAGGTGTTTCCAATGCATATTGCATCTAAAAGTATGTCAAATATATTAAAGATTCAGCATCAATGCGGATGAATATTGTATGTGTTTTGCCACTGTATACTCCCTTTCCGTAATTGTGTTTCATTGTTATCTAGCTTCTCAGGAGATAAGGTTTCGTATGGCAGATTGAGTTTTCTAGAAATAATATTGTTTTCACAGAATCGTTCTCAATAAAGATTTCGTGTTTACGACCATGTAAAATACAAAAAGATCTTACGACTTGTTCCTTCCATGTATGTTCCTTGCTCATAAAATTATTTGTTTTAAACATTTTCAGATGAAAAAGAGAGGTATGATCCATGTGGGTTTAGGGATGCAATAATCTCTGGACTGGATAAATGCGCTAACGATTTCGAAGCAATATCACGTTATCTGGACGGTGCTGGAAACAAGCTTGATTATCGGCGTTATGGAGAGGGCCTTTTCGACATACTCATTGCTGGAGGCATTTTGGGTAAGTTAAATTATTAATTATTCAGAATTAATTCTGAAATTAAAACATTTTGTACTTATATGTATGTATATTACGGATTTATATGTTTACAGTTTTTATTTTCTTAAACAAAGGCGCAGATGAAATAGTGACATTGAAACTTTCTGTTGCATTTTACCATTTTTGACCATCCTATATATTTCGAAACAGCCACGAATTATGAACCTATTTTGCCACAAACTTTTTGCCCAAATTTACAATTAGTATGCTTTGAAAGGAAAATCCAGTTCTGACTCACCTTGTGTATATGTGTTATTAATTGAAGTCAAGCAATAAATCAGTGAATATTAGCCTAACCTGTTTGGGCGTAAGTTCTTGTGTCAATATTTTTGTTTAAGCAATTCCATAACGCAATCTACTGATTGTCATCTAGAATATTTATGAACAGATTTTCTACATGTAGGTAGTAGTTTTTTGCGAAGTAGGAATACGCGCTTAACGGATGTATTTTAAAATATACATACATTCCGTGAAACTTACTAACTATACACGTTCATCTTTCAAATTAGCATAATTTAAATAGAATAACGATTTTTTTATGACACTCACGAATCTGAGTGACATCAATATTTTGAAATACTCCCTGATTTATCGCAAGTTTTGTGCAAACAATATAACAACCAGAGTGGTCTTCTGTATTATTATTTTAAGTTTTAAAATATCGTTTTGCCAATAAAGCTCCTTCTGTGCCCTACCTTGAATATAGGTAGTCACATGCTGTTTCACAAATCGAATAGGAGTGTTATGCAAATCCCACAATGAATCGAACCAATATGGATTATTAGTATAATTATTTTTATCGTGAATATATAAATCTCACATGCAAGAACTCAAGCCCAGCTGCTCGCATGTTGAAAACAGGCCTTAGGTATAGGCATTGTAGCATTGTAACTACTATTCCCAAGTTCCGATTGTTATTTGAGTTATTTGCCCTTGAATAAAGTAGGGTGTTTGGTGCAGGTAAAAATATTTCCAAGTGGGTCACACTGAAACATGAAATCTGTCATATGCTTTGACAAAATACGAGAATTTGGAATTATTTCAGAATGAATTATACAGATACAATTTCAATTTAATCAAGTAGAATTTAGAAGATTTTGTTTGTTAGTGAGTCAAGGTGCATTTTTTACATTTTCTTGGAAAACGTGTCCGTATTTAAAAGAAATGCTGCCTAAAGATGCTCTTATAAAAATCTTTGAATTTAATTAAAATATCCTGTTTGAGTTGAGATGGGATTTAGGTACATATTTCACTTTACACATTTTATAATAGTAAGGACGTCAATAAACTACGTTACGCGTTGTATCGCTTGGAGAAGTCTTGTCTCAAGATAATCTTGAAACATTTTCTGCACTTAATAAATTTTTCTTATAAATTATTTTTTGCATTGGATGTTTTTTCCAGTTCCGGGGGGTACTTTATCCCAGGAAGGCGATGGCCCACACCAGACGGACGCCTGTATTTTTAACGCCTCGGACGAGATCAATATGGAAGAAATGAAGAACTGGGAGCAAGTGTTTATAAAGCTCATGAGACGTTACAAATACTTAGAAAAGCTGTTTCAAGTAAGTGAATTGTTTTTCTGAAACTCTTGAAATCTTGTTTATTAATGGATCAATTAAATAGGTCATCAGTTCACAGGTGAATCCTTGAACGTTTTGTTGAAAATTTGCCAAGCTATTCAAATATTTAGCAATGATTGATTGTTGCGATCGTCCCAATGATTAGTTCGTATAAGCTGATATGAATTAATTAGTTGAAGAGTTTTCATGCGAATTCAAATTCATAGTTACACCATTCGTATGCACCGAATTAGTCATCCAGTCGTGCATATTCAATGCTTTTGATAACAGATATGAATTGAATTTAAAAGATTTCCACCGTTTAGTGTGGCTGTTTCTAATCAGTCACTGCAATTTTTTAATGTGAAAATATTCTGAATTCATATATGTATGTTTTTGGCAAAAAAGTTTGCTACAATTAGTTTACAAAACTTATAAAATGCTTAGATTAGCTTTGCCCTGTTAATGTACAGGTATTTTCAGACAACTACTTGTTTATCGTTTAGAACAGGTGGCCACTAACGCACAATTTTCTAAGGAGAAATTTCTTTTACAGGATGAAATCAAGAAGATTTTAATGTTTGTAAAGTATTTCAAAGAGACTGATCGCAAGAAGTTAGCCGCTATGCTGGCGTTATGGATTTCGAATGGTAGCGTTCCTTTTGCGGCTGTGCTCGTTCTCAACAATTCTCATCTTATCAAGGTAAGACAAGCACTTTTTCACATGGTCTAAATGTTTATGAACAGGAACGTATAAAATTGAGTTAATTTGACATTTTGTCTGTCCTAGGACCATTTGGCTTTGGACTTTTTAATTAACATATTCAAATATTGGCAAACGGAGAGAGGCACCAACTCTCTAATATCTGCTGTTCGAAAAGCCAATCTGGAGCAGCATTTCTCAACGTTTATCCCTGACACGAAGCAATCACAGGTATTGTAATATGTGTTTACATCCGTAGATTAGTTCGCTGTGTTTTATTTTAATCTGCAAAATCTACAATATAAAAATAACTATACTTGTCCTTTACATGGCCACTCTAAAGCAACCGTTATTAAAAGATCGATTTAGTTCAGCGTGCTTGGATTATACGTTTTCAATATCTCAGTATCTATGCTCAACAGGGCAAGTTTGAAGCGAGATTTACTTAAATAACTTATCGAGTTCTAAAAAATCTTTTGTTCTACTTAATTCTTAACCAATGATGAAATATAATTCTGATAAAATACTATGTTTTTTCGGAGTAACTCTCATTGGGAAATCAAATAACACCAGTACTGGCATTCTTCGATATTAATTCTTTGAATGTTATCGTGAGTTGTCACATTTGAAGTATCTTCGATACTCTACTAGGAATCTTTGGCACAATTTAGCGTAATATGAATTGACTGATTTTCATTGATCTTCAATAGGTGTACTTCAGAAATGCTTTCCAAGACAATGGGCTCGACGAAATTCTCAAACTGTACGAGGATCAACATCAACAGGTTGCCAAGAAAGAGTTACAAACTCTCTTGGGTGATGCTTTGTCTGAAAATAAACCTCAACGCGAAATAATCGCAGAACTTAAAGAAATTGCCCTAAAGGACAATATTCAAGAACATGAGACTGTGTGCATCATATGGACCACTGTCATGGACATACCCGAATGGTCCAAAAAAGAGGTATGTTTTTGAAGTGGTTTTATCTTATAGTTCTTAGTAAGGGTTTCAGGAAAATTTACATTTTTTAATTTTTGCGTCTGATGCATTATAACTAATCTGCAAAGAGTAAAGAATGTGGAATTTTAATTTGAATTGAGATAACTTTTTTGTTATAGGAATTGGTCACCGATCAGGCCGTCCGCCACATCAAGCAGTATACCGTCCTGTTTTCGGCTTTCGCGCAAGGTGCTCGAGCTGAACTTTCCCTCGTTCTCAAAGTACAAGAGTACTGCTACTCTAACATGACGTTTATGCGTGCGTTCCAAAAGATAATCATGTTATTCTACAAAACGGACGTCATTTCTGAGCAAACGATTCTTAAGTGGTATCGACAGGACTACAGTGTTAAAGGCAAAATGATGTTTGTCGACCAGATGAAACAATTTGTCGAATGGCTACAAAACGCCGAAGAAGAGAGCGATTCGGACGCTGAAAGCGACTAGGTATGAAGTTTTAACTTCAGTTTAATGCAGTTTTCCTGATTGAAAATAATTTTATTATTGTTTAAGTTTAATAAATGACATATACTGTGACTTATAAATGCATTGTCCTCAACCAATCATCTGTAAAAATATTAAAGTTTTAATAAACCTTAAAGGTTGTATGCTTGTTTTTATCATTCAAGTGCATTTTATTTGGACAATTGGATTTCAAAGTAAAAAGGATAATAAAATATGTAAATCAAAAATATGTTTTTACTGCATCCTCTAACATTGTTTCCATTGTGTTTCAGACCAAACATCATCAGAAAAACTAGTGCCACCAATATGACCCATAAAAAAAACGGTAACATTTTTTCCAATGTATATACCATTTTAAACTATATAATTATATAAATAATACATATGTATAAACATTCTGGTGCCTTACTGTGTTGGTGTGCGCTGACAGGCAATAGAGAGCAGATAAAGTTTTGTATAAAGAACGGAGTTACTAAAATAAACGGAAAATATCGTGCATCGGAAAAAATGGTATTTGTATCAACTTATAATAACGCCAATGAATTACGAGGAACTTACTATTATATATGATGTTTTACTGTCAATTTTTTTAATATACAGAAGAAAACTTACGCCTTTTGAGTTTCTTTAGTTTGAGTTATGTGTTCTTTTGTACTATTATATAATAAATATTTTTACAGTTGGAGAGTATCAGTGTTTCCATTATTCTGTTTTTAATCTACCTGATAGGTAAAATTTCGACTCGGACTAATTGTTTCTGGTGTCTTTTTTGTAAGTGTTTTTATCGACTTCTAATCGAGCCTGCTGTGTGGTATAAATTCGAAAAAGTGTGGCCGTAAATCCTATAAAAACCAAGCGTCACCGATAATATTAAGTAAAACCTATCAATTCGTCTTCAAAACCATAAAGTTTTCGGATTACATGGACCATATAACCTGGCTCCATTGATATGCTCCATTAATAAAAGATCATATTCCCCGTTCAGTAACTGCATCGAACGTGCACGGAAATTTTAAGCGAGTTTGTAAAGTTCACAAAGAGCTTTTGGCGACCCAATTCGGCTTTAATTGACCGAGTGAAAAACCCCGGTTATATACAAAAAGTAATACTGTAATTTATAATAATAGTGGCTGATTTTAAAACGCACAAAGTAAATTTTGGCAACAAACTAGTTTTAACATTATCGATTGATAATAGCGGATTCGTTGGTAATTTAACTGTCTGGTCGGCGACAAATATTTAGTATTTATTATTTAAAAAGAGAGAAAGTTTTATAAAAGAAAAACTTTTCTCCCAAAAGCAAAGCGGAGGGTCTCTTGAATCCGTCACTACACTTTATAATCATACTTTGAACGAATTATCTAAACGATATTAAGACCATCGCACGTCGTAATTTTTTTTAGTTAACGAGAATTTGTATCCTTTTTATTATCCAATCAATATGAAAGTGGAAAAATAGAAAAACTTGTAGTTATTTAACTGAATGCTTGATCTAAATATAGCTAAAACCTCACAATGTTGATTTTCCATCACTACATCCGGAACGTGTATGAAGTATTAAGAGTACAGATAATTCAGTAACGTGATTGATTTGTTTTAATAAAAGACTGAAAAATTCGAAGCTTTGCTAAAGTGATTTTCAAATTTACTCGAAGCTCAAGTTTTACTAAATAAAGCGAACTACTTCGAATTGTAATTCGTTTATATCGGCTTCCCTCAATCAATTCAGGCACGGCTGTTTATAAGTGAGACTTCGCATCGAGTATAATACAAATCAGGAAAATTATAAGTGTTTTAAGCACTTTTACAGAAATAATCTCCAATTCGTTGAATTTTCGAGTTCGCTTCAATAAATCAAAATTATCTGTTTAGATAAATATGTTTCTTTATAATTACGTTTACTGATTCAAGAACACAGCAATGTATAAATGCATAGACTGGGCAGGGTTAGAACATAAATCATGCAATAATAAATAATAAGCTAATATGCTAATGCCTAATGCAATAATAAAGGCAGTAACTGACCGGACTCAGCATTAGAATTGTTAGTCAACAATCCAATTATCGGAAAATCCGACGCAAACGGCATTGAACTCATTTTCAATGACCGGCTAAATAAAATTTCTGCATTCATTTTTACCACGTTTCTCATTTCTCTATTTCAAGCATGGGAAAGTTCCGATGGTTGATCAATCCAATAATATTGTTTTATGTGGATTATTTATTTATTATGCAGAATTGACTTTACAAGGGACTTTACACCCTTCGGCAAGGATACAGAGTAGAGTAACTATATACAGGGTGTTGCCTGGTGTACTGCTAAAGTATTTTTGTCTAACCATTTATTTGTATGCACATTTTTAAAGCGTTTAAAGCCTGTAGTGGTAGATATTCAGAAAAATAAATCGCATTTACCATTAAGTTGCTCAGATCTGCACTGAAAGAGTTGAATGAGTTGTAAAGTTCTCAAAAGCCTTCAGGAAGCTCTAAATTGTTTTAATTGACTAAAGGCGTAATGTATAATAATAAATGTGCGCAAGCTTTGAAAATTGCGTTTTCTTTGCTACAATTGCACTACCGGCCAAAAAAAATTGAAGAAATTAATTTTTTGTTCTTTATCATCTCTTATTGTTAAAATTTTGTATAAGCAAAAAGAATGTAGTCTTCTCCGGCCTTATTGGAGGAGATTCCGCGATTAGCAAATGCTCTGTGTCTCAAAGTTATGATATAAAAACCTCTTGGATTTTCTCAGTGGCACGCTTCGATTCCAAGAAATTATTACCAAACAATACTTCTCCGCGTTTCTAAACTGGATAAGAAGACAATAACAATGTTTTGAAAGCTAAAATGATGTAAACATTTTTCATTTCCCACATGTGGCCTTCAAAGTCGGAGAAAGTTTAAAATTGATAAAGCTTTATAAAAAAAGTAAAATTTAAAAAGACAAAGAAATAATAAACCTTGGAATTTAAACACTGTTAAAATTTAATTGCTTTATAACATGTAGCAAAGAGTTTCTACAATCATAATATATACATATATCAAATGAATAGTTCTCTGGATATTTCCAAACCATTAAAATCAGTCAAAAATCAAAGTTGGTTTTTCAGTTATTGCGCAATTATTGATGATTTAATTTCAACTTTGATGCATGTTTTGGCAAGGACGATTGACGTACATCCTTAGAGTATTTTTCGCTCGAAATTATAGACCGGATTAAGCGAAGTGCAAGTAAAACACTCTTCAGATGACTTATTTCGTGTTTATATTATATTATTGTGTTTATGTATTATATTTGTGGAAGTTTGCCTTTAAAAAGTAATACATTTTTTATGATAAACGAGTTAGTCAAAAGCAAGAAGTTTTGTCGAGTCACTGCCATACGAGATGCAGATGTTCATTTCTGGCATATAACAGTAAAGGGCATTTTGTGCTAAATATTTGAAAAATAAGTCATTAATTCTCAATGAATTGGTTTTTTTCATAAAAAGTTGTTATAAAAAATGTATGTTTTCCAAGTTTTTTTTTTTTCATACAGCTTTTGTATCGTACATTAGCCGTATCAATAATCAGTTATATCAATAAAGCGCATGCGATTTGTGGGTTTGCCTAACAAACAAAAGTTTACGTTAATAGTGGTTTTCTAAGTGTATATATTTTTGTTTTGTTTTGTTTTGTAATAGCAGTTTCTACTATTTGCTGTTTTTGTTTGTTCCATTCGACACCATTTTTTAAATCAACGAAATACTAAATTCAATAATTTATATTTTCAAATCAACTTTTTCTGAACAAAATTATAGCTGTGGTGACGCAGTCTATAAATAGTTTCGGAATTATTACAACGTGACAAAATAACCGAATTACTCAATAGCTTGTGGGTGCTTTGATCTAAAAGCTTTTGTGGCTATAAACGAACTTTATGGATAAAAGGTTTTCTTTAGTATTCACCATGGGGACCGAGCAACGGGGTAAAGATTCGCGTATCTTCTTTGAAATATCAGCTTTCTAGGCAAATTGCGTTATTCGCATTAAGAATTCTGATATATTTTCTAAAAAAAAATTTAATGTATTTCAAATACTTATCTAGTTGTGGGATTATTAGTACTCCATCATACGCAGACAAACGCGTCTGTAAACCGTCACTGTACAATTTCGAAACTGATCGGCTTCGCCCTGTGTATATAAAAAACTACTGCAAGCAATTCAATCAAGCATCAGTTCAGTAAACAATTCAGTAAACATCAGTCAGGGCAAACTCATGTCTAGTTTATCGGCGTCTTTAGAGGCTCAACCTTTCAGCATTGAAAACGAGAATACACTGAAACGTGTCGTCCTGTTGTAGCGTTTTCTATTTTACCACGGAAGATTGAGCCCATATTCGGCTGCTTCTTTGTACATTATTGTACATCACTATTTAACAAAAAGATATAAAGAAAAATGTTTCTTTGGGGCAACATCCATCCCGCTGATTATTAGCTTGTTGGCTTGTGATGATCGGATTAATTCAACGTTGGACATTCATTAATCTCCAAGTGTTGGGCTTCTACCACAACTATTTGTAACTCGACTTGTGCTCTATAAAATAGGCTCTCTTTCACAGATTTAGGGACCGCGCGAGTTGTTTAGGGGCGTTATCTGGCCGACCGCTCAAACAAAATTGGAGTCTGAGAGAGCGGCAGCTTCGCTCAGTGTTGCTGTTGTGCTCGACATGTTCACGTTGTGCATGTCACGCGGTTCTCCACCCTTACAGGATAACTCTCACAAGAACAGTAAGTCTTTCTAATGGCTTAAATAATAATAATAGTCTTCAAACTATTTATTTATGTTAAAACTTTTTAAATTTAAGTTTAAAACTAGTCGAATTTATTTGCCGTTAAAATTTGATTTTGAATTGCCGCGGGATAATTTTCGTTTGACACTGAAATCGTGCGTTTTTATTTTACTTTTATTTAATTACCCTAATTGATGTGTTTTAAAAATCATTTTCAGGTTGACTTGATATCATACAAAAATAAAGTTAAATACCTTACATTATTGGAAATAGCTGTTAGTTAACTTATGCAGTTAGAAAATTCACACTCCACATCCATGTGATATATTTAACATGTTTTCAGTTTGGCGATGATCAACTGACAATTTTTTATCATGGATTATAAAGAGTATAACAAATATGACAGTTTAATGTAATCCGTAGAAACCCCATTTAAAATACAAAAAAATGCAGGAAATTAACAAAACAAAAATATAAAAATTGATTGTTTTATTACATACATTTTCGTTTATACACTATCGGATTTTTAGTCTTTGACGGATATATTAAAACTGTGTTTTCCTTGTCGGTCTAAGTATCGTTTTCATTTAGCTAAATTTGAATTTGATTGTGTGATGAAATTTCGTACATTTTTAATTTTTTAATAATCCTATAATTTTTTTATAATTATAGGATTTATTACACCATGAGGAAGAAATTTAGAAAACTTAAATCAAGGATTTCAAAAAAAAAACGAAATAAGTTTATAACTAAAGGTAAAGCTTAATCTTTTACTTTGTTTTAGTTAATTTTGGCTTAGATAGTTTATGAATTTAGCCATTCTCAAAGGCTAATAAACTAAACTAAAATTATCGAAAACATTTTAGTTGCGTTATTTAAGCGAAGTGAAGTTCAAAATTTTATTTTTAATTTTACTCAGACGGTAAGTTGAGTACAACACTCTTTCAATCAACCTTTGTACTAAAAATGTAATTCTCTTTATGATTTGAAAATAAAGAAAAATATATACAAGGTGTTCTGTAAGCACATGATCAAAAGGATGCTGCGATATTCTTTGAATCAAAATAATACTAAAATTCTAATTCTAAATACATATATCGAAAAAGGATAAATATCGAAATAATTGAAGCATGTCTTTTTAATCGAGAAATGTATTATCTATGTGCTCACTAGGAGAAAACTAAAATGTATGTATGTGTACCAAATTCTTGTACCTAACTTCACGTCCGAAATAATCCAAATAGTTGTAACATAAATATTGTGAATTTATTAAAAAATATAGGTACTTAAGCGCAAAGGTGCAAAAAATGTTTTTATATAAAGGGTGTCCCGTAAGCACATGAACAAAAGGGTACTGCGATACTCTTTGTATCAAAAGAAGATGTCTGACCTAACTTATTATTTATTATCAAAAAATGTCTGGCTCCTCTGCTGTTGATGATCGAAATTCTTCAAAAAATTTATGTTTTTTCAATGTCTAACATTAAGTGGCAAGAAAACAAAAATATTTTTTTTTGCAAAAAATATGAATGCTACACGATTTTACAAAGCGCACTAAAATTGTGAATACATGATTATTGCATCAACCAAAAAAATGAGTTGATTTCATCACCCAATTAAAAAGTTCTGGTAGTTTTTGTACCATGACACTCAAGAGTTCACCACTTRTCCAAAACGGATGAACTCGACTGTTTCATCAAAATATGAGTCTTACATAAGAACAAATTCACAGCGAGTTTCACTAAAATACATCGTACCATTCTCCCGATATTTCAAGAAAGATAATTTTCTGAAGAACTTTGACCATCAATAGCCGAGGAGTCAGACATTTTTGTTAATAAAAGTTAGGTCAGATCGTCTTCTTTTGATGAAAATAATATCGCAATACCCCTTTGTTCATGTGCTTACGGGACACCCTTTATATAAAAACATTTTTTGCACCTTTGCACTTAAGTACATTTTAGTAAATACTTTCTTTATACATCATACATTTTAGTTTTCTTCTAGTGAGCACATAGATAATACATTTCTCGATTAAAAAGATATGCTTTAATTATTTCGATATTTATCTTTTTTCGATATACATATTTAGAATTAGATTTTGGGCGCCGGTAAAACACCGACGCTCAAAAATTTATTTTTCAAACCAAGTTCATGCAACTTTGCATTTGAAGATCAGTTTAGAAGAAAAATTTCCACGATTTGAATATTCTCATTTTATGAATATAGCATGATAGAAGATATGCCAATGACACAAGCAATTTAGAAATTAGACGCAAATATTTTAATATACATCAACTAATTAGAAATAATTATCCAAAATTTGATATTGAGCACATCATCGGTCTGTGATATAATTTGGAAGGTTATTTCGTTCAGAAAATWAAATGTAAGAAGTTGTCCTGATGGAGGTTTCAAGGTTACACAAAAATATGTATGTTTATTAAWATATATAAATTTGTTAACATTTTTATTTTTATTGTAGAAAAATASAAATTTTAGTAGTTYCTTCTCAAATCGGAATAGCTGATAATGTTGCTTGCGGTAGGAAYGACGGCTTAAAAATAAACCGATTTTKATTCTAATTTKAWTTTTTTTGGAGTAAGGAACTTMKAAAAATTCGAAACGTTCAAGAATCTCTATATAGCTAGACASGTTTCTATAAAAAAATATGATATCCTGTTTTTCGRACGACAAAACAATGGAGTTATTTCAAAAGATTGAAAGCATAAATATCGCATCCAAATTTTCTAACAGCTAAAACTGTATTGAACAGTTGCGATTATGTTTCTCTACTTTCAGCTATTTAAGATTGTTAGATTATTTAAGTTGTTATTGATAGTGCTAGAATGTTAGCAATCTTATTTAAAATAAGTGTACAGGATGATTCAAGATTGGCCTCGTTCCCCTGGAGGTGTTGTCTGGGGGCGTTTAAGGAGTGCAGAAAAAATGTAAAAAATGTTAATTGTAATTAAAAACKGAKAAATTTGCAAAAATAGTGACAWTAAAATAGATAAAAAACAAGTTTCGTTAAATGTTGGCAACTACTTTTTCATCAGAAATTGTTCTTTGTTGTCATCATAACCTCGAATTRATGTGTAAACAAATAAACATACACTCCTATCTTTAACTCTAAACAAGTTAGTGTCACTTTAATTAATTAAGCGACCGTAATTTTTATTTAATAGAGGTTAAGTCTTCGAATAGGCTACCAAARRTGGGGCCATTTAAAAATAATGCTTAATAACAAACTGAGCATTCGATTTTCAACTGTTAATATCTTTCCTAAATMTTAATAGATTTTCGAAAAAAAAATGTTTTATAATTTTTCGCGTACTCTCCAAGTGAGCTCCTATTACCCCTTAAATGGAATGACGCCAATTTTGAATCAACCTGTATTTATTTAATCGTGTGTATTTAAATGGTGTTCAAAGCTTTATTGCTTATAGCTCGTAGCGTCCAATATTGGCATTTTAAGAAATATCGCATCCAATTTTCTTGTGAATCAGTCTGAGGATGACAGCAGTCCCAATAACCAATTTTTTAAATTCGTCGATGTGAAAAATTGCATTCTCCAGAGATTTTCCAGAATAGCTTTGATGTCACAGATCAATATCACTTTTTACGGAAAGCCTGAAACTTCATGGCTTAATCTTTTTTGGATTACAGTTTGCAATTCCCTATTGCTCAAATTTACTTGAAAGTGTAACACTTTCAGAAAAGTAACAGCTTTTTTCATTGGATTATGTCACAGAAAGACTGTTACTGAATCATTGAGTGTTAAGTAATGTTTATTTGAAAACTCCTCGCCCACATCTTTTAATCTATCTATCACCACCTTGAGGATTAAACTACAATTTTTAATGTACTTTAAAAATAATCTTGGCGTGAAAAATAACTGATTAGTTGAGTAACAAAAGTGTGCAAAATGTATTTAGTCTTAAATGATTTAATTTACTATATAACTGGACAGCGTTGACCTGGATTCGTAGCATAAATAGTTTACTTCGAAGGAAATTGTGAGTTAGCAACTAAAAGCCAAAGGACAAAGGGGTTTATTTACAAATATAAAGTCCAGTTGCTTCTTTTGTAATCCGAGTTATATTGTTTTAATTTTCGTCAAATAGTCCCACCAGGCACAAAAGCTTATAAAGGTTTTACAGGGCAAATGCATATCCCAAGCATTCCGTCGCGTGCTTTTAAAGCTGTCGGAAAGATAAAGCGAATATTGCAATCCGGACTTGGACAATGTGCTTCTTTAGAAATCATTGAAATAGTCGTTTCGATTTCCCGAAACCGAGCAGAGCTTTCTCAGAATAAACGCATCAAATTTCATTCATCGTGGAAGAGGTGGATTAAAATGTAATTTTTTATTCTATTACTACTCACGCTGACACAAAATGCAGAAGCTATTCTAAAAATCAATCCGATTTTCAAATGGATTCATTTTTGATGATTTTATGTTGGTTTAGAGTTGAGAAGCTCACATGCTTTTTTATTCAGTAGTAAACAGAAAATCCATAGTAAAATACATTTCTATGCACACTTCAAATCAAGTTTTGGGTATGGTTGTAGGCTCTCATTTGCTCGTAAAAATATCAAAATTTTACCACGAAAACACCTGCAATGTCAAAATGTCCCCATTCACACAATTTTCCAAACGGTGCGCCTATTTTGTACATAACGACACCCGGAAAATAATATTTCTCTTGCCGCGGAAGCGGACAAAAATCTTATTTAAGTTCGTCAGAAGTTCTTTCTTCAAAGAAACAAAAAAAGTCTAAATCGGTTCAAATCAAATATGCAAAAGATTAAAACTTTTTTTGAAGTCAGTTCAACCCGAATGCGTAAACTTCGAGATTTATTTATCGAGCTGTAAAATATCCGGATAGCGAATAACTGTCCGAACTGTTTTTTTTTCTATGCAGATTGAAAAGCCAAATTGAAGTTCACAGGAATTATTACTTTTTTCATGCTTTCAATTTAACCGAGGAATTT